AAACTAAAGTTTCTTTAAAGCTTTTAATACAAAGCCTGGGGTTGGGAAACAATACCACAGTGTTTTGTGCTATGCTCAAGTGTCTATAATATAGCAGCTGCTTGCTCTTTCAGGCTAAGATTGACTTGTGCTGGCCAGGGTAAGTTTGGAATTGGGAATTGGGGTTGTTTTGGGGGGTTTCGCGCACCACATGAGCCGATAAGCTTCCAGGAATCTTATTTAACAAGTCTTCCCATTGTTTTAGAACCACATTCTGCAATTATACAATTTAACTAAACTATTTTGGACCATAGGGGTTTAGAGATTAATAAAAATATAGTTTGAAACCAAAACGAAGGGTGAGAAAGATCTCATTATACTTATTATGAACACAAATACTTCATACCAGACATTCACATGTACTTTGGTCTCAACATCTTGACAGTAGTTTTAGCACTCATTATATTGCACAGTGTTGGTTCCACATGTTGCTCAGACACCAAAACTCCACTGGGAGGAGATTTGATTCAGGCCTTGCAGGTGTAGTTGGCTGACATGCTGCATTCAGTGTTTTATTGAGCTGGGATAATGCAGCATACAGGTTTTTCTGAAACAGGTTGGGTGTAAAATGAAGTAAAATAAAAATAATAAAATAAAATACAGTGAAAGTTATGGAAGCTTGTTTCTACCATGGAATAAAAAATTAAAAAGGTAATTGCGACTTTTTAATTGCACAAATCAGACTTTCTTTCTGGCTAAATTTTTGCGAGTTTACATCTTACAAAATTGTGACTTTCCTTCTAAGAATTGTGAGTTCATTCATATCACAATTTAAAGTAATAAACTTACAGTTATAAACTTGAGTTAACATCTTGCAATTCTGACATTTATTTTTCTGAATTGTTCGTTTATATCTCGCAATTTCGAATTATACACTTAATTGTGTTAACCTCCCAATTGTGACAATTTTTCTCAGAATTGCAACTTTGTATCTCACAATTTCAATTTGCAACTGCAAGAAATAAAAATCAATTGTGAGATGTAAACTCAAAATTGTGAGATAAACTCACAATTCTGAGAAAAAAGTTTGAATTGAGAGATATAGACTTGGAATTGCGAGTAAAAAGTCAAAATTGTTAGAAAGTCAGAATTAAGAGTTTATATCTCGCAATTTGGACTTTTTTCTCAGAATTGCAAGATATAAACTTGCAATTGTTAGATTTAAACTCACAATTAGGAGATATAAAAATCACAATTCTGAGAAGAAAAGTCTGAATTTTGAGAAATAAACTCACAATTGTGAGGAAAAAAGTCAGAATTGTGAAATAAGTCACAAACCTTTTTATTTTTTATTTTTTATCCTGTGGTGGAAACTGGCTTCCATAGAAGTAGATAAAACGGAGTAAAACATTTTTTTTTGTTTTTTACTATTTATTTGTTGCATTAAATATATGATTTGGCAGTGACACGCTCCAGTCAGCCACAAGACGAGACAAAACTAACATGACTTCATGTATTTTTTTTCTGGGGAACACAAAAGAACACATTTTGAAATCTAAACCCCACTGACTTTCACTGTATGACTAAAAATACTATTTATTTTTTTAATATCTTCTTTTGTGCGCCATGAAAGAACCAAAGTCATACATGTTTGGAGGGACATGAGGGTATGATATTTTTTTAGCTGAACTATCCTCCTTTAGCCAGAAATAAGCTATAAAAATGTTAACTGAAATTCCATCTCTACCAGTGTATAAGCTTACAAAGCCTTGATCCATCATACAGAACATCAACATAAATGTTTGCTTTAATATATGAATGAGAATAAACTTCATTCCTAACATCATAATGATTGACAGTATTATTTTTTAAGTGTTTTACAGGACAATAGGTCAGCAGCTGAAGAGCGCTCCCCTGGTGGGTCGTGACCAGGTAACTGGTCATGCACTCCAGCAGCTGCAGAGAAACCCCAGACCACTGCTGTGTGGTTTGCTCTTTAGTTCCACTGGTGTAAAGGGCTCCTATAAATGAGGGTTTACAGAGTGTGTCAGGGCAGCCTGGGTTCTGTTACCTCTCACTCCTCAGACCCATATCACACGTACTGTGAAAATAAACCCTTGCACTCAACACCACTTCTCAGTCCCAAAGCCAAGCCTGTGCTAGAGCAGCAGCGTTTATATTAGGTCCTTTTTAGGATGTACAGTATGACTGAGATGTCTTCATACATTTAGCTGTTCAGTTTCATACTCTACAGTCAAGCCAGATGAAATGTCTCCGCAGGAAACAGAGTTGTTTTAGGAAACTGCTATGTGTGGTCAATGCCAAGCTATACGTTCAGGTCTTTCAGAAAACGCAAAAGGCATCTGTGACAGGAGTCCCTGCCTAGTACCTTCCAGTGCCAATTTCTTACCTTTTTCTTGCTACAGTAGATTTGCCATTTCTTCGCGGCAGGAAGGGCAAACATGGCCTCTCTATGTTTTTCTGTGAGATCCAACTCATCCTGTGGGAGAAAGAGATGAGAGGTTTTAAAATAATGTATACTTTGTCATTTAAAATACAATGGACTGTTTCATCTTTAAAAAAACATTTTTTTGTCACATTCTAATACCGTTAAATGCCTAAAATTTACACTTTAGGTTGCTTATTTCTAATCTAATCTAATCTAATCTAATAATATAATAATATAATTATATTATATTATATTATTATATTAAATAAATACATAAAATAAATAAATAAAATAAAATAAATAAATAATCAATTTTTTAGACAGAGACAGACAGATATAGACAAAAAAAATAAATAAGGAATGTAAAATGTACAAGAATGAATGAACGAACGAACGAACGAATGAATGAAAAACAAACAACAAAATTATATTTGATTTGGCAGTGACACACACACAGGCTTCCTATCCAGTCAGCAATAAGGCCTGACAAAACCAACATGACTTAAATTCTGACATCAGCCTCTGGATATCACTGACCCTCAAGCGGGAGTTAATTTCCCACAATTCTGTGTGAGATAGAGAGTCCTTGTTTCTTCATGGCAAACAAAAGATTTAGTCATGTAAACCATCAATTAATGCCTGTACACTCCTGTGACCTCCGTGCATTCCCATGATGCAGTTCTGGCCTGAGTTGGTCATATTCAGTCCAGATGTTCAGGCACAAGTTAATTAACATCATGTGAGAGACACATACAACGATCAGGTCCCGAGACCACTTTAACAGGCTGCATAAGGAAATAATGAGGATAAAAAGAATGAGAAATACAGGGAAATCGTATAATCCAACTTGTAAGTACTCATGTATATTTGAGCAGAGATTCCAGAGAGAGAACATCACATCCAGACACCACATCTATTGCAGAAGCAGGCAGGTCAAAATCTGATCTTGTCCAGACTGTTCTCTCATACTTCTCCCTCTTTATGTCTCTGCAGGAAAAACCTGAACCTGAGATTTTGTTCTGCCATCCCTCACACTCACTAAAAGCCATTTAGATAGAAGCAGCTATCTTTCAACTTCATGAGGAGGACTGCTTTCTCACCTCAAATCGACACATAATCAAAAGCCTGCTAGAAGCATTTTCCTGTTAAATCAAGTCAACATGACACTGATTGATGCCTCAGTTGTGGCTCACTGTGAATCCTCAAAGACTCAGCAGGGGACAGGCTGCGTATGGGACGGAGTCTGGCGCATGCAAGTCATCCATGAGCCCATCTGTGCCAAATGCCTGCTGGTCACGCGCTGGTGGGCATGAGACATACAGACGTTCTCCTACTCAATGGAGTCTGCAGAGCTAATGAGGGAACATGCATTGTCTAACACTCTTTACTGGACCATTAGCAGAGAATGCTTGGATTCCCCATATTACGGAGTCCAAGACAAGCACCGATTCACTCCACAAATGGAGGAATGGTAGAGCAAAGCAGTACTCAACTGAAGAACAAGCATTTTTCTAACTATTCCGATGGGATTATTTTGAATGAACCCACTTAACAGGCTCCATTTGTGATTTTTGGCCATGTGGGCTTGCATGCTAATGAACTCTGTATGTTCTGTCTTAGCAAAAAATGCAATGGTGAAAACCCGTCATGGAATGAAAGACAAGTTCCTCTCGGTTTTATTAAGTTATCCTTAACATGCTTTCCAATATTATGTTTGACAAAACCAAAGACCAGATTTGACTTTCAAAGTGGCTTGTGTCCAAAGATCTAGAGTATCAAGCTTCAATAGAAAGTTGAATAAAATACATAAACCAAAATAAAGTTAAACTACAATGCTCTATCTACCTATCCATCCATCGACCTACATATCTACTTAATCATCCATCCGCCCATCCACGCACTCAGCCATCTATTCCTCTACCAATCTATCTACATATCCATTCATCCATCCATCCATCCACCGACCCATCCAACAATCTATCCATCCATCCATCCATCCACCCATTTATCTACCTACCCATCTATCCATTGATCCATCTACTTATCCATCAATCTACCCACCCACCCATCCATCCACCTACCATTCGTCCTTTCAACTATGCGTCTATCTAACCATCTACCTACCCATACATTCATCCATCCGTCCATCCATCCATCCATGCATCTACCTACCCATACATCTATCCATTCATTTATCCATCCAATCCATCCATCTAAACATCTACCACCCATCTATCCATAAACCCATCTACTTACTCATCCATCTACATATCTACTGTATCTACATACCCATCCATCTACCTATCCATCCATCCATCTACCTACCAATCCATCCATCCATCCAGTTAAGAAATTGGGAAATAAATAAAACAAAAGAAAGAGTATGGAGGTCATGTTACAGCACATACCACCAGTTCAGTGAACATGGCATCCAGTTCCTCGGTGGGGGGCATAGGCAGGGTGGGCTCCATGGGTTGCAGTGTGAAGTTGCTGTCATGGCGGAGGCGGTAGGTGATCTCGGGATGGTCGCTCTTCTTTAGACAGCAACAGAGGAATGACAGGCCCCGCCCTCCTCGCTTATGTGGGGCCATCATGGCCAGAGGCCCAGCCAGTCAAATGTGTCTCACTTTAGCTATGACCCCCTGTCCAAGAAAAAAACAAAAAGAGAAAATGAGGAGGGGTGACAAAGCTACAAATAAAAAAAATCATTTCTGGGAATCATTTCTTAGTTCACTGAAAATATGGATGGCTATGCTGAGAGTCTGAGACAGAGCTCAATGCAAAACAACATGACTGAAAATCATACCGCCAACCAGGGCTGTCACATGAGATGTGTGATGTATTCAAACTAAAATATTCATGTATTAAGTATACTCCTGACAAACAGGTTACATTGGACCTCCCACTGAAGACCAGTAGCAATATGCAAATTATCTGTATTGGTGCATAAAATCTCGCTGAAACGAATTCACAATCAAGGCTTTGGTTATGCTTTGCACAGTCACACTAGAATTCATAAGTTTTGGGTTATTCATTTATTAAAGAAATGAATATTTTTATTCAGCAAGGATACATTACATTGATTAAAAATAACAGCAAAAACTTTTACACTGCTACAAATAAAAATTAATTAAATGCTGTTCTTTTTAACTCTATATTAATCAAAGAATCCTGAAAAACATTATCAATGATAATGATAAGAAATGTTTCTTGAGCACCAAATCAGCACATTAGAATGATTTCTGAAGGATCATGTGACACTAAAGAGTAATTACTACTGAAAATTCAGCTTTGCCCTCACAGGAAAAAAATACATTTTACAATATATATAGAAAACAGTTATTTTAAATTGTAGTAATATTTCAGAATATTATTGTTTTTACTTTATTTTTCAAATCAGTGCAGCCTTAGTAAGGATAAGAAATTATTCTCAAAACATTTACAAATCTTACCGACCCCAAATTACAACAAATGAGATGTTGGATTATCAATTTGTGTTTGTGCAGTAAGACTCATAATGCCAGCACTGTATGATCTTATTACCCATTACAACACTCACATAAGCCTCATAAACTCCAGCAATACACAGCAGCATGATTCAACATGCAAAGCATTATGTAGACAGATAAAACGGCTATAAAAGCAATGAGCTATCATTTTACACTATTAGGTGCTTTTATATGTGAATCACTTTACAGAAAGAAAACAAACTATTTTGCCACTAAACCTTGTTTATAATGTGCATTACGAGTAATATCCTTCAGTATTTTGTCACCTTGGAATTATAAGGTTCTATCTATCAGTTTTGACATTTTTGTCAAAACAGAGTTATTCACATATTATTTTGTGACATCTTATTTACATAATGTGACTTTTTTTTAAGTTGTGTACATTTTGAGACTTTACTAAGACAACAAAAAGATTATATCTGTAAAGTATATGGAACGCAAAATCTTTGAAGCTCAATATCTCAAAACCGTTCAGAATGCAGATAGAACCTTATAATTCCAAGGTGGCAATTTAAGAGGATCTGTGTCTATCAGTGAAAGGCAACTGCATGAGAATATTGCATTTTAATAGTGGAAAAATCAGAGATGCTCTTCACAAGGATTAAGCCAAAAGGCTAAAGCAACAAAATGAGTCAAATCGAATATTAGAACTTGATGAATTTGTTTTCTTTTTACTCTCAAGAGTAAACAACAGTTGTTTTTACAAAAACCAAGGTGTGGTGGTATAATATGTGATCTAGAATGGGAACCAAAAGGTTGTTTTGGGGTTGAACACCAAAAAGGCCAATCCATGAGCTATAACCACTGTGAAAGAAGTAAGTTGTAAAGCAGAAATGAAAAAAAAAATTGAGCTTCTGCACATCAAGACATATGGTATGTTCTTCATACAAAGTTATCGTATGGCATAATACGACTTGAAATATAGTGCATGAACCGCTTTTTATATCCTTTTTGAACTGAATGAACTTTTAACAAAACTTGCTCCTTTTAAATGTATGTGGAACAACAAAATGGTGAGCAAATGCTGACTAATTAAAAAAAAAAAATTTTGGATGAAAAACCCCAGGTTACTCCAAGGGACTGTCCTTGTAATTTGTGCCTCTTCATAATAAAAGTGGCTGCCAAATGATTACATTTCACTCAGCCATAACACTGTTTCATCTACATCCCCCAGATGTCACAGATTTCATAAAACAAAAGACACTGTCTGTAGTCTTTATCCTCAGACCTCACACAATGAAACTGACCTCTCAAAAGACCCAACCGTGCTCATCTTCCCTTTCACCATATTAGGAATAACTGAGAAAGTTACCGTGCCCAACTTTATCTTCATCCAGTTCTGTTTTAATGAGTACACCAGCCTGAGCTCTAGCGCTAAAGCAATCATGACCCCGAAGAAGTCAAACATAAACTTCACTCTGAATTTACGATCAGACCCAGAAGCTCAAAGTGACCAGATGTTTCCCTTTAGAAGAACAGGGACATAAAGGCTTAAATGGCTTCAAGATTAGGCTGGAGTTTATAGTACATGTGTTTGTGTAAAATCTGCTCAGTGTACTTGACCCTGCAGAGCAGGTTTATAGTGCCATTATACCCAAACACAGACTTAAACGGCGATGCCCAACATGATCTACCATGCGGTTTGACCTCTGAATGTTTGTCTGCAGCTCATCAGAGAAAAGAAAATGCTAAAAATGATTCCATCAATTTACAATTTGTAATTATATACAAACATCAGAATCAAAATATAAAATGTAATTTTTGGAGGCTTTTGCCTCTTTTATTTAAGACGGTGGAGAATTCACAGGAAATGATGAGGATAAAGAAGGGGCGGACCAAAAAAATGACCCGAGCTGGACTCAAAACTCAAATTTAAACAACTAATAAAACTAAATAACACAATTTATCTAACTGAATTTAACATAATAATACAAAAGAGTATTTAACTGAATGCTTATTTGCAATACAAATGAAATGTCATGCAAGAACATCTGTGAACACTTTGATAGTTTAAATGAATTAGTGAATAATTTCTTTTGAACTGGTTCTTTGAGGAATCTTCAGAATGATTTACTAAAAATCAAATGAACCTTCCAATGCTTTTGAAATCAAGAAAGGATATTCTATGTGAGTGTGTTTGATTATTGCCTCAGCTTATTAGGTTATAAGGATGCATGCACAGTATGCATTTAAAAAAACAAGTTTTGTCAGCATTTTGTTACGCTATAACATGTCTGATTGAAGAAAACAGCTTGATGCCAGAAAAGCTACAGTAGAAAACATCTGAGAGACTGTCATGTTACTGAAAAATGTAGGTCAATTAGTATGAATGCAACTAATCTTCAACTCTTTTCTCAAAGAAAGTAAACTCATTCAGCTCAAACAAGATTCAAAGGTAAAACTATGGCTCACAGATGAGAAAGAGAAAAAAAGAAAGGAAGACAAAGAGGAAGTAAAATTGCAGAGGAAACTCTTCGGTGTTTTTTTCGGAGCGCTGAAACGAATGATTCACTCGGCCATGTCAACAATCTGGATGTTCACACTAACACGGCCTTGTGTGATTTTTTTTCCCAACATGGAAGAGAATCTCGATTCTCACACTAACTATTTAGCAGCGATAACCCAGCAGACCAGACACAGCTGTTCTCCTGAGCAAGGCTGGGAATTTTCTCACCACTGGGTTTATTTCTTTGTGTGAAAATAGCTCCGGCCCGGCCAGTTGGTCCAACGATCAGTGGGCAAAGACCACACACTTTACACCATAAGAATGGACACCACGTCTATTATTAGATCAACTTGAACAAAAGACAACATGAACTGCGTCTTGGTTTGTGGTATTTTAAGTTGCTTTTTTTCAAATTTGTACATGACAGCAAGCTTTGAGAACAAAGACGTTCTCAGTAACATTTATTAATTTAGCAGATTAGTGATTCTCACGAAAACATGCCCAAATCACATTTCACATCATTTTTTATTTACTTATTTATTTTACTTTTTTTTCAAGTGAATAATGCAAGCACACAGTATGCCAGTAAATCATTAACAAGTGGAAGAATTTAATCGTCCCGCTGCTAGATGTCCTTGTTCACAAGGTCTGATCCAAACTATGACCCACAAACACTGCTAAGCAAATATTCTGTTCCTTTATTCAAACCACATACAATGCAGGAGCTTATCTGACAAATGTCGAAATAAAAACTGGTAATCCAAATCCACATCTTGTCCAAACGAAGAACTGGGATCGCCAGGGAGCTAAATAATCTTTACATCCTGGGAAACCCCTGAAATGTAAACATCTTTAAAAAAAAATTTTTTTAAAAGACTAGCGCAGGAAAGTTATTATTACAAAACCAACAAATGTGTGAACGTATAAAAAACGACAGTCGGCTCCTCATCTTTCAGCTCATTTGCTCATGGGTCACCACAGTCTGTACCGAGACAGGTGACTAAAATATTTATATAACTAAAATAGTAATAGAATCAGCAGCTAGCCTAAATGAAAGCAAACATGTGCTGTGCTATGAACCGAGCATAACATTTTATCCCTAATAAAAAATGACATCTTTCCCAAAGCCCAAATAAAATAAGAGTCTCGCTGTGCTTGTAAAACACATAAAACAGGCAGTTTGTTTATGTATAAGCTTGTCTTTTCTGAACGTATAAAAAACGACAGTCGGCTCCTCATCTTTCAGCTCATTTGCTCATGGGTCACCACAGTCTGTACCGAGACAGGTGACTAAAATATTTATATAACTAAAATAGTAATAGAATCAGCAGCTAGCCTAAATGAAAGCAAACATGTGCTGTGCTATGAACCGAGCATAACATTTTATCCCTAATAAAAAATGACATCTTTCCCAAAGCCCAAATAAAATAAGAGTCTCGCTGCGCTTGTAAAACACATAAAACAGCCAGTTTGTTTATGTATAAGCTTGTCTTTTCTAAATGGACGTCTGTCAACTGAAAAAAAGCATGTTTAACAAATTCAGGCCACTACAGCTCTGCCCTTGTTCAAGTCAATTTCATTTGACATGCATCCCTGAGTGTTGTAGTTGTTACCTAAAACTATAACTATTAAAAATTATTTTCGTAAATTGAAATAAAGCTGAAATAAAATTTTAAATCTTAAACTTAAAAACGTAGAAATGTTGCCTTGGCCAAAAAAAATTTGAAATGTTGCCTTGGCAACTAACGAAAATAAGTAAATATACAAAACAATAATAAAAATAAAATTCACAAAAGCATATCAAATTACTGAAGTTTAAACTAAAATAAAAGCCAAATCAAAATATTAATAAATACAAAAACAGAATACAAATAATACTAAACTAACACTGTCCTTGAAAATGGTCAACATTAACTCGCAGTAGGGATGGCCGATATGGGCTTAAAAATATATCATGATATTTCTGGTATTTATTACGATAACGATATCAATGACGATAATTCAGGGAATCCTGTTTCTTTAGAGAAAAGTATTATCTTTCCTATTTTTTACCCAAAATAGGGTGTTGTGAGCATTAATGAGTACACGTAATGTAAAGACTGTTTTAATTCATACTGAAAGCCGGAGGGCGCTCTTGCACAGCAACTCCACATATCTATAGAAGAAGTATACTACTGACGACGCTCCAGGAAGGTATCCAGTTATTGCTGAATAAAACGCACAACGGAGATTTTAACTGATGAAACTTGAGGAAAATAAACTTGTGCACTGTACAGCCCTAACCAAACCAGTTACAGATTGTAAAATGAGCTGGAGCTCCTCATTTAGCGATAAACTCCTCAATTTCACGTCCGCCTTCCGCGATGTCGCTCCGCACTGTTGCACACAGATATATGTTAACAACTAGACTTTATCGTTATTATCGCGTGAAGACTAATTCTTATCGTGGGGAGAATTTTTACTGGTATATCGCAAATTATAAGATATCGCCCATCCCTAACTCGCAGCATTAAGCACTTGTTCAGATACTCCCAGCCTCCTCTTCCAAAGCAATTCAGATAAATTGCTGGAGGGGAATGGTATCAAATTCTGCAAACCTTGTACCGTTTCTATTAGAGGTCAGTCCCAGGAGACTAAAATCAAGGTCTACCCACGACAAGACCGATATTTTGCTACAAAAAGCATGCATGCAACAGTTATAAAACGTATAGTGAGTATAAAAGTGAATACTGACAACAAGCACATTCAAGAAAAGTGGGAGGGAACATGTGAAGGAAGGTAAATCTCAAGTAATGTGCATGTCCGTGCAGCAACTGGCATGAAAATGCCTCCATAACACACTTGTCTTATGAAATATCTCTCTCTGTCATACACCAGTGGATCTAATCCACGAGAGCCCAGTCCTCGTATGTCCGTGCTCCACCCTGGTGGCCAGGCCTCTTTATGTAAGCAAAGTTCGATCTTTATGAATGGCTGTGTTGATCCTGCACCGGGAAGCAATTCCCATTCATGCTGGATCATGAGTCAGTGCATTATGGGAATTCATCAAAATCATGAAGCATGTTTACACTTCAGCATATTTCAAATGAATGGTTTCAAGAATGAAAGTTGAGAGCAAACATGATACAATGTTACGCTATATACAAACATGATACAATGTTACGCTATATACAAACATGATACAATGGGGAAAAAATATCTGAACACATCAGCCACACTTTAAATATCTAAATGTAATAAGACACACTTAAAAATATGTAAATGTCTTTGCATAGCATTTGTTTTAAAGACAAATAGTATACTTTTCAAGCAAAACACTTGAATCCACTATCCACTATAATCACCTTGAGACCATTTGGTTAAAAGTTATTGCAAAACAATGGCTCAGAAAAGTGATGCTACTTCTGGAAAACTCTAGCAGCATTTGTTTGTAGATGCCACTTGGTTTGACACTTGATATCTGATGCAGTGACATTCAGACATTTTAAATGTGACTTCAGGTGTTCAAAAGTGACCTTTTTTGGGGCCACTGTACATTTGATCTTTCTTTGAATAGCAATTTGGCATGTTGAGAGCTTCTGTAGAGCTGCATGCTGCTTATATACTAGGGATGCACCGAATGTTCGGCAACCGAAATTATTCGGCCGAAAATAGCAAAAAAAGCTCTTTCAGTGTTCGAATAAGCGAAAAGACCGAATAAATTGTACCGAACAATGATATGACACGATCAAATAGCAACCAGCGCAGAGTGAGAGGCGCGTATCAACATTCATACATGTTAGTATTGTAATTTTACTGTTGTTCTGTAAAATAAAATAAAAAGTAAGACAATAATAATGATAATAATCATTACAAAAGCTCTGTTTTAATACATTTATTATAACATTCACACATAGTGTTCAAATTAGGATCTGTAATATTTTCTAATGTTTTAAAAGAAGTCTCTTCTCAGCAAGGCTGCTTTTAATTGTACAGTAAAAAAAATTATTACTTATTATCCTCAATCTACATGCAGATCGTAAGAGAAATAAACTAAAAGAAGCAACGGAAATTTCTGCCAGTTTCGCTCAAATATTGGTAACTGTGGTCATCAACACTTCCACCACTTCAGATCACAGAGCGCTTTGTCTTCAGTTGTCGTCAGCATGTCTGTCTAGGTTGTTGTTGCTTTTCACTGCAAACAGCTGAATGTGGAGGAGACCGAATCACTATTTGTTTATCGGTCAATCGCCAATGGAATGGACAAATCTTACATGCATAGCTTGCAAGCAAAGCATTCTAAAGATTATTAAAATATGTGCATTCTTCAAATACAGTATATGGAAAGACAAGTGTGCCCGTTTCAGCTTTGTGTTGCTTTAAAGAGTTGTAATCGCTTTCATTAACAGTCTCACCACATTTAGGCACCATCTAAAGAGTTTGGGCGGTTGGATTTGTAAAAGAGAGGGTTCTCAAAGAGGCACACAACTTAAGTGATGTCATGGGAAATGTACTGCTCATGGGTAATTTGCATTTTTTTTCTTTGCTGGTGCAACGGTTATAATAGGAACAAGATATTTGAATATGTAGTCTTAAAATAATTTAAATTTGTTTAAATTTGAAACATCAATAAGTATGCATTAAATTGATCAAAAGTGACAGAAAATACAGTGTTATATCATAAATAAATTGTTACAAAATACAGTTCAAATAAATGCTTAAAGAATCTTTAAAAAAAAATGTATCAAAGTTTCCACAAAATATATTCAACAGATAGATTGTGTGACACTGAAGACTGGAGTAATGGCTGCTGAAAATTCAGCTTTGCAATCAGAGAAATAAAGTACATTTTAAAATATGTTAAAATAGAAAAGCTATTTTAAATTGCAATAATATTTCACAATATTACAACCCCAAACTTTTCAACAGTAGCATTCTAATGCTAGTCGATTGCAAAGAGCGTTGTGAAGGCCTTCAAAGACAGTCCTAAGATACTGTGCCTTTAAACCAAACCAGCACTAATGCATACATCCCAGAGCGAACATCTCTCAAGCACTGGAGCTCCATAATAACATAATTGCACAGCAATTTTGTGGACAGATGAAGCAGGATTTTGAGGTCCCACGATGTAGCCAGCAGTCATATCTCTTCCAGGATATGACCTAAAGAGCTCTTATAGGGAAGACAACAGCACTTCAACACCAGACTATCTCAACAGACCTCACTGAATAATCTAATGAGAAGTGTGGTTGTTAGTCTGTCTTTCCTTATTTTCTCTGTGACATTTTCTCCCCCTGTGCCATTTATCTTGTGCCTGTGTCATTGGCACGGAAAAAAAATCCATCATCATCAGTGCTCTGATATCAAACGCAGTCATGAAACTAACACTAAACCAACAGCTCCACAGGCTTGCGACATTGTCTGTAATTTTCTGCCTCTCTCATTAAAAGCTAATCCATAACTCTGGAAGCCTTGATCACTGGGCCTGCAGAAGAGCGAATGGGTTTCCATTTTAGAGTTTACATAATGGAGGTCATCCAGTGCAGCTCTCAGGCCAGTCTAGGATCAGCTAGAAAACAAACCCTGGCCTTTGGTCTGTCATCCAGCAGTCACAAGCCAACGTTCCTAATGGCAAGTTACAGTATTGATCCCTGCTGAACTAATCAGAGTGATGTCAGTCTGTTATTGGCATGTGCAACCACGAGATTCATCCGCCATGTGAGTGAGTGAAGTGACGTGTGGACAAGTATGGTGTCCCATACTCGGAATTTGTGCTCTGCATTTAACCCATCCAAGTGCACACACTGTGTGTGTGTGTGTGTGTGTGTGTGTGTGTGTGTGTGATTTCAGAGGAGGGTCTACTTTATGCGGTGTTTTATACAGGACTAATGTTCAAGCAATGTGCTTGGCAACCTCCGGTCATCAAAGTCAGGACCTCACCTCGGACCCTGACATCATTAGTGTGGGCCGGTGATTTAGAATCAAATACACAAATGGCAAATCTACATACAGCAGTTGTCAGTATTCAGAGAGATCTGCTATTTTCAAATGTACACACACACACACACACACACACACACACAGGTGTATGAACATGAAATGCAAATGCTTTCTCATGACCATAATCAAATAATCAGATATTATCATTATTCTGGAGAATGCCACACACACACACACACACACACACACACACACCGTGACCACACACCCGGAGCAGTGGGCAGCCACGTGCTGCGGTGCCCGGGGAGCAGTTCAGGGGTTCGTTGCTGTGTGAATAGCCTAAACAAGGTGGAAAAAAGCTAATGAGAGCTTTAATTAAACAAATGTTTTAAAAGACAAAGTTTTGAAAAGAGTGATTGCATTATATGTAACAACGAAATGAAATATATGAAACAAATGAAATAAAACAAGAAGTATGAAAATAAACAGAAAACAGTAAAGGAAGATATTTATACACAAAGGTTAAACTAAGCCAACTTAGAAAACATAAGACTAATGTAAGTGTTTGTTGTGTAGGTATTTAGATATACTCTCTTGTATTTTGCACAAACTTACAAGATCAATTGAAAAAAAATATTCAATACTAAATATAGACAGTTTGTATATTTAGTTTTAATTTTAATTTAAAAAAAATTAAGAGAGAAAATATTAAGATTCTTATCTATGCATTTATTAATTCATGCAAGATAACCCAAAATGTCCAAAAACAAGTCACATCAAACACCCACATATGGCCATTATCTATGTTCCTGTTAAGTCAGATAGATAGTAAGCTTGTTGTGTATACCAGATGCCATATAGCCACATTTAAGCTCACTTGGGCTATATTTGTGATCAATAACATCAGGACAGTAGCAGGGGCGTTCCACAGGGGTCATATGCACCTCTCGGGGATCAAAGCACTTAGACAAAACAAGAAAGGCAACTAGAGAGGAAAGATGCAAAAATGCTGTCCATCAGGCAGACAAGTCGAATAGTTTTCAAAACACAGACCCCTGACCCACATCATTCTACAGCCACATTTAAGCCTGAATCCCCAAAGTCAGACTCCTCCAGAGTCCAGAGAACCAGTATTATCCAGCAGACGCACACTGTCTGCAGTTGTCAGGCACGTTTGTGATTCAGCAGCCTGCATTACATGTGCTAATCCCATGGTTTCACTACTGGGGATTGTGGTCGAGCTGAGTATATAATGAGTTTCCCCGAGCTCAACAGTGATTGGACAAGCAAATATTAAAGCACACATGCTGATATTGGTTATTAATTATTGCTGGAGGGTCATCAACAGGTATCAGCGGTTATCATGTAAAAAAGCACCATCCAAATGTCACCATAGTAATGATCACAATGCAAAATGATACTGAAAAGGACAAAGATACTATAGTACACTCTTAAAAGTAAAGGTTCCAAAAGGGAGTTTTCACAGTGATGTGTTTCTGCAGTGATGCCATAGAAGATCCATTTTTGGTTCCCCAAAGAACCTTTCAGCAAGCAGTTCTAAAAAGAACCATTTATTGTGTGTTAATAACATTTCAATAATCTAAAGAACCTTTTCTCCTATAAAGAACCCGTAATGATTCCATGGATGTTAAAGGTTCTTCATGGAACCATCAATGGCAATAAAACACGTATGGCACTGCAGTGAAAACCACCTTTAGAAAATGTTTTTTTAAGAGTGTGGAATCAAAGATGCCAATATAGAACCTTTATTTTGTAGAGTGTAGTATTGAAGTAAACATGTGAACATGTATACACACAAACACACACACACACATATATACTGTATATATATATATACTGTATATATATATATATATATATATATATATATTTAGATGTCTAACCTCTGACTCACATCCGACAAAAACAGATCAGTACATTCAAAATGGACAAACATAAATCAAAAAAGACAGTAACAAATTAGATGAATAAATCATGGACAGGCTGTTTATGTATAGCTGATTAAATATGTAATTATGTCACTTGGCACACACACAGGAAAAATGCACACCAGTCTCATTCCATTCATAACACTTCCTCAGTTGAGGTCAGAACTTTATGGCTGCTTCACATGACTCACTTAGATAAGGGCCTGGGATGAAAAAGACAAAGCCACACACACCAGTTCATCTGAGGCCAAAGGGTAAGTATGCATAAAGCTTATCGGCAGGCATGTATCCATGTATCTTCACACGGCAACCCACACAACAAACTCTAACAAAGCTACACTAGCTGAGAAATACAGAAACAAACATCCTAAAACGTCAATGTTAAAGTGACTTCACATTTTGATTTCTCTAATTCAAAGACAGCAAGCTCACTTCTCAGAAAGGCACATCAAGAGCACATCGTCGCGTAAAATCCAGGCAGTGAGAGCTTTGTTGATCTCAGCCCTGAATGCTGCGGTGTGGGAAGCACGCAGACCACAACGGCTCATACATCTCTCACCATCAAATCTGGTCCTGAAATAACCGACGAAACTCCCTCTACTCCACAAGATCAACACAAAAAAATGAGTCTTCCAAACAGCTCGGTCTCCGGTTTAATTCTCCACTGGATTTACAGTATAAGCAGTCTGAATATTTTAATATCTGACTACAACTATAAGCTTGAGCTCAGAGTCTGAATAAGTGCACCATCCACACACACACACACACACACACAGTCAGACAGATGTTCCCGGTCTGAGTAGGACCACCCTCTTCCTGTATACCACACCTCCTTTCTGCACTGTCCAATGGGAGGGCAGTAAGAGGGATTGCGTTGAGTTTGACTCCACCCTCAGTCACAGAGCTGACAAGTGTACAGTGACAAATAGATCTGAGATGTTAGAGGAATACAATAACATGGATTACTGAACTAATCACTAGTCTAGTATTGTGCTTGCTAAGCAGTATTATTACCAAACTAAAATTTAAAAAAATATATTATACATTTTATAAAAATAAAAATGACAGAACCCATTACAAAATTACTAAAACTACAATTAAAAAAATAAAAAACTGAAAATATAAAAAATAAAAGCCAAGTCAAAACATTAATAAATACTATAATAGTATATAAATATTACTAAAATTGCTAAGGCAACTGTCACTATTACTGAACTATTAATGTGACAGACATGAATAATACATTAAATCGTGAGGCTTATTGAGAAGGAGGTGTGCTATTACTGTTCAAAGCAATCTCACTTAGGATTAGGGTTGGGTACCGAAACCTATATAACTGGTATGTACTAGAACAGCGGTGGCGAACTCCGGTCCTGGAGAGCCGCAGCCCTGCAGAGTACAGCTCCAACCCTAATTAAAACTCACCTGCCTGTAGCTTTCTAGTAACCCTTCAGACCTTGATTAGCTTGTTCAGGTGTGTTTGATTAGGGTTGAAGCAAAACTCTGCAGGGCTGCTGCTCTCCAGGACCGACGTTCGCCACCCCTGTACTAGAACATTATCAGAACGCAGATTTCGGTGCCACTTTAATGCATGAGCGATCGATTGAAATATTTGTCCTCTGGTTGATGAAATCATCCCTAAAAAAACGAATTGTTGCAAAAGTTTTGGTGTATTGCAAAGAAAAAATTGCCCTTGAGCCGTTTCCATACATAATTTCACCTATTACGTAAATTATACAGGCTAGTAGCCTGTTCTTCAACCATTTGAAACAAAACTTTATTATATATCCTAGGCTATTATTAAATTGTATAGGCCTGCATAAAATAGTTTTTAAGTACCTTTTCATTTTTTTTTTTATTATTTCAAACATCAGTAGGCTATTCAACGTTTTAGGATTTTTTCTAGTAACCCTTCAGACCTTGATTAGCTTGTTCAGGTGTGTTTGATTAGGGTTGAAGCAAAACTCTGCAGGGCTGCTGCTCTCCAGGACCGACGTTCGCCACCCCTGTACTAGAACATTATCAGAACGCAGATTTCGGTGCCACTTTAATGCATGAGCGATCGATTGAAATATTTGTCCTCTGGTTCTCCGAAACGGACGGAAGAAGCATCATCACCGGCACCACACGTGAAAAATTATTTCCCTACAAATGTGATATTGATTTTATACAACAGTTAAATAAACAAGACGTTAATATTAACAGACTTACGTTTTAGACACCATATTGCCTATTTTTGCTCTATTTCGCCAATAAAAAATAGCTAATTCCAAACAGAGCCACAGCGCTGTTAACATTTGGGCGGCGTTATGCAAATCTTCCCAGATAGTGACATAGGTATGTGGGGGCGTGTTAGAACGAGCCGTTTTAGGTAGGTGTGGCTGACTCTTAACTTTAATAAAGAATATCTCTTTGGATTTGAGACTTTAGTCTTTGCAACTTTACAGATCTTCTTTATGCACCAAAAGCTTGTAACACTCGAAAGAGAAAGGAAAAATTGAAATCGCATCATATGACCCCTTTAATATATAAATCTAGAAGTAAATGCAAAAGAAAAAAGCATTGAATAATGTGTTGCTTATATTTATTGTGTTTAAACGTCTGTGAAAGATTGTATTACTGTACTGTGTATAAAAAAAAAGAAAAAAAAATTGCAATTCTGAAAAAGCATTTTCAGTGACAATGTTTAGATTTGAAATCAAACTAATGGATAAATGTTGTGTTTGTGGTAAACAGCCATGGATCTCCTGTGTGAAAGCACAGTCCGTGCTGCTTCCCCTCTCACAAGTGTCACCTAAGAGGGGAATTCCCCTCATTTTAAAAAATGAAATTCAAGCCCTGAATAAATGTCTAAAAATCCTGATTGTAGTATCACAATAAATAGTTATAAATTATAAAAAGAAGGCTTTAAAAGATCAGTATTGGTGATCGGTATCGGCAGATACTGCTTTCTGTGATCGCCTCAAAAATCCTGATCGGAGCACCCCTAGAGAAAATGCACGTGAACGCAAGTCGGAAAGATCTGATAATACAAATCCAACACATTTTTCATTCAACATTTTTGTAGTAACGTTAGTGTCCATGTTGTTTTCACATTCCGACTTAAAAGCACAACTCGAGAAATAAGACCATCCGAGGAGCACGTGAATGCAGTAATTACACTTGCTCTGATGCTGCAGGTAGCCTACCGTTAGCTAGCTAAGCTAAACACGCTTAAATTAAAATGCTTAAGCTAAACTCCCCTTGTAATGACTTGCAATGAGAAGTGTTTCTAAACCTGTTGTCCTACAAAAGAGAACATTATAACGTTTTTACTGCACACCAGTCAAATGCTTCCTTTTGTGATCTGATGTGGCTTCTTGTCACAGATTGAGACAGAAAATGTTCTATACACTCTCAGAAATAAAAGTACAGCAGCTGTCACTGGGGTGGTACCTTTTCAAAAGGTACTTATTTGAACCTAAAGGGTCCACTTTGGTACCTTAAAGGTACATATTGGTACTTAAAGTGTACATATTAGAACCTAATAGTTACAAAAGTGTACCTTTTGAAAAGGTACCGCCCCAGTGACAGCTGTTGTACCTTTATTTCTGAGAGTGATACTGTAAAAAAAAAAAATGTCGATTAGCAATGGATTATAAATATACTTAATTATAATGAAAATCCCAGAGATGGCTTGAATAACACAGATAAACTTTTTGTTGCAGTCGAGTGTTTATTGTCTTATCATTCAAAACGTTTCTATCTTCTGTTGTTTACTCTGTTACAGCGATAGCAATGCCTTTGGAGCCTTCTGTGATGCATGTGGAGTTTCGGCGCGAGGGCGCCCTCCGGCTTCCAGTATGAATGAAACCGATATTAAATGTGTTTATAGCGCTAATAGCCAATACATCCTGTTTTGGGTAAAAAAAACAAGAAAAAAAAGTTTGAGTTGCGCTAATAGACAACCACCCTAACAACCACACAGCAATGTGCCAAAAATTCAGAACAACTTCGAAACCACACAGCAACAGATTTACATTGTGGTGGAAAGTTTTGCTCAAACAAGCAACACACATTTTTTTCAGAAAACATAATGTAGTTTAAACCATCTATAAACATATTAAACTAGCTTACACTGCCAACAATGTACAAATCCTCACAAATAAAGATTTTTTTCTTTACTACACTGAACAAAATTATAAATGCAACAGTGAGTTCAGCTCATGAAAAGTGGGGGCAAAAACAAAAGTGTTGCGTTTATAATTTTGTTCAGTGTAGCTTTCTCTACGTGCCTACAAATAAAGCTTGCTTTTGTTAAAGTGGGTGCAGTGAAGAAAGCAAACAAGTTAAAGCAAATTATGCAAGACTTGATTTGAAATGATCATAATTCTGAATGCCTCCTGTCTATTAACAGTTTACAAACCTTTGGCTTAGAAACACAGCTGGAGAGGACGATTAAAAAGTCGAACAGCTGTCACAGATCATCTTTACTACAGAAATGTTTATTTTACGATTATTGCCATTTTTTGGTAATATTTCTGACCTTCTGTTGCAAAGCATTACCGAGCTCTCAGGCATTCCAGGCAAATAGGCCTTTTCAGGCAAATGAATAAATCAAACGTTTTTAGTACTGGTTTCAAAAACACATTAAATTTGACATGATACGGCATCTGCAACACATTTTACTTCTTAATGACTTTTTTGAGTTAAAATGGACTGATTCAATTGTGAAAAATTAGCAAAAATTAGCAATACTGTCAATATTGGCTATGAATATTGAACAACATCACTGAGCAGGTATTGGTTAACATTCACCAGCTGAAAAAGAAAGCTGTTTCAGAGGCTGAACAAGTTATTACATTTTGATTAAAGATTTTTTCTTATTAACGTACATTACTAAAATAATCCACAATAAGACCAGAAACATATATTAAGAAAGTCAATACGGTTTTCATTTCATGTTCACTGAAATTCACACAGATGATGTCTGGTCACATACTGTATCTTAACAAACACTGATTGATCATTCAGTTAGCATCACCCATATCACTCCAGCAACTGATTAATCACTAGTTAACGTCACTCAATTGATCTCCATCATCCAATCAGCTGTGTTCTTGTACACAGACACACACAAAAACACGTACACAATGTCTGGTTGCATTCCTAGGGCACTCTGTTTCAGATACGAAATGCCATTATTTTCCCAGAATTCTACCCGGAAGCAATAACGAAAGCCTTGGTTTCCAAGAGAAGATCAAATTTCCTCTGTTTAAAGGACACGAACCAGAGTGCATCTGGCTCTTTCCTCTTCTGTGCTGAGCACAGGTCACCGAGGTCAGGTTATAGTCACCGGCAGGAAGTGTGGGTACCGCTAATGGTGATGTATGTCTGTCGACAGCAGTTATTGATCATGAACTTTGCTCTTTGCATCAGTGGAGCAGACAAATACATTCACTTCACTGCATTAGCACAACAACATCTACCATCTGAGGTCAGAGTCCATGCCAATTTTGTTAACATTAACGTTTTTTAATAGA